ATATTTTAACAAATACACATTTATTCCTAACCAATATTGTTCTTAGCACATATACACATATATGTTGCTGTAAACTATTTCTATCAGTTAGCTTGTATTTAAGTGTATGTCCAGTCATGATGACAATTAATGAATTTATTGATCTTCTTGTAGAATACAGTGTTATTTAACAAGAGTTGCCCCAAAGACTCACGGTTCATCTGCTGTCATGGCAATGTTAATGTCACACAGGTAGACATGTTGTATGGATACAGCCACTTTCCCATAAGTGTTGGTTGTATGAATTTTCATGCCTCTGGCCACTCTATGTAGTGTTTCTCAGCAACATTTCAAAGAGACTAGCAAGAAGAAGAAATGTTTTCTATTCATGAAACTAATCAACAAACACAAATTTATAGAGATGGTTTCTGATGTATATCTAGAATCCTGTGTGAGATTCCAATGTAGAACAGTAATAATATATCTAAGACTACAAATATTATATTGCCTAGCTTTAACATGAGAAATCCACAAGGAAGCATATTTTCAATGCAAACAAATAAGTAAAGAGAAGATGATGTCTACATTTAGGAATAGATAGGAACTCAATAGTCTTGAATCAAACCAGGAATTGGGTATTTCTGGAGTCTGTGTTCATAGATAGATAGATAGATAGATAGATAATAGATAGATGATTGATAGATAGATAATAGATAGATGATAGATAGATAGATAGATGATAGAATAGATAGATAGATAATAGATAGATGATAGATAGATAGATAGATAGATAGATAGATAGATAGATAGATAGATAATAGATAGATGGTTTATAGATAGATAATAGATAGATAGATAGATAGATAGATAGATAGATAGATAGATAGATAGATAGATAATAGATAAAACCCAACTTTAAGTAGTAGCAATGACTTGGAAGGGAGAGCAGGAGGAAGCAGAGTAAGAAACTCAACACAGGACTATTTTCCTGCCAATTCCTCTTAGTGGCTGTTCCATTGTAAGCACAGAGGCAAAGTTAAGCTTACTTCTACCCATTTAAGATGCAGCGATTTAGCTACAGACGGACTCCTCAGTATGTATGGTCTGGAGAAGCATCTCGTCACACAAAATGCTCCCTTTATCTCTTTTCATCTTTGTTTAAGAGCAATTTGCAAGCATACAAGTGTTAGTTATGTGTTTATTTGCCACGTATACTGTTTAATTTTCAAAATATGTTTACGGAAGTGTCTCCTTTTTTTTTCTCTTTCTTTATGTCAAAGTCTCTAAATTCAGCCTAATCAAAATTAAAACAGGGAGAATGGTCAAGTTTAGGATTTTTCCAAAGCTGTTTCATAACAGGAATTAAAAACTGTATCTTATTTTTTACATATTATGTCAATAGGAATTAGATTAAGTTGAGGGATTAAATATTAACATATTAAATACTACTAATTTTCACACCAATGATATTTTAGCTGTGAGATAATAAGCAAGCTAATGATGCAGTTTTGTGATCCCCACACTTGGTAGGTGAAGGCGGGAAGAGGGCCTGAAATTCGGGACACACCCCCCAAAAGAGCAAACTGTAAATCAGCCCTGGTTACAGAAGAAACAACCCCAACAATACCCGTTGTCTCATAAGTTTTTCGGGTGATTATGAACTGTCTTTTTTTTTTTTTCTTTCCAGATGCGGGATCGGGATCTGGAGATGGAGGTAGGAGTTGCTCTTTTTCTGTCTTTTTGGACATTTTGGTGAGTCACTGTGGATGCTTATTAATGCTACTTTCAAGCAGAACTCTAAAGAAACCTAAGTTTTGGATTTTTTAAGAAGGGAAAACTATATAAAAACTTGTCTTCCGAGTTTAGGTGCTATATATTCCATGCTTGTTTTTTGGTCTATTCATGAATCATGCCCATCTCAATTCATCTTCCTCCTTCATGTACTGGCTTAAGAGTGGATAAATTTGAAACACTTACAAACACTGCCAAAACCTCAAAAGGCAAAACTGTAGACGTGGTTAGCAAGAGAGAAGTTCATGGAGAAAATGTTCAAATATTTGGTTCTTAAATAACATAATATTGCCCTCAACCATTGAGTACTAACATTAACACATAAATAATTTCCTATTTCAAAATTTAAGTTTAAGTCAAGACGTATTAGTTCATAAAATTGAAAAAATAAAAGTTAAGTTAAAGATAACACAATTCTATCTTTTCTTCCAAGGTGAAATTACTATAAAAATAATTTTAATAAAATAAGATATATTTTTGTTTGTTTTGCTTTGCTTTGCTTTGCTTTGCTTTGCTTGAGACAGAGTCCACTGTGTAGTTCTGGCAGACTTGGAACTCTTTATGGAGACCAGTCTGACCTTGAACTCACAGAGATCCACCTGCCTCCGCATCCTGAGCACTGGAATTGAAGACATGTGTGTTGTATCCTATTGGGCCCAGCCAATTAAGATGGATGTTTTGATTACTTAACTTAAAGTATGAAAGAGAAAAGTAGAAACTTTACATCTTATATACTTGCAAGCAAAGATACTTTATTTTCAGTGTAAACGTTCCTCGTAAATACCGTAAAGGCTTTCCCAAATGTTTATAGAAACTAAATAAGTAAAAAACAAATCCCAAAATCATGAAAACTGATTTGAAATATAAGTATCACCTCAACAATTTATTAGGCTTTGTAAAAATAATTATGTCCTAACTCTTAGCAAATCTAGAATGTGTTAAAACAATAAAGTTGCACTTTGTGTTCAGGAAGATCGCTACACAATGCTGGAAGCTTTATCTAGTCTAGGAGATTTGAGTCTTAAAGAGAAAGGCTTAACAGTTCAAATGAGCTACCCCTGAAGAGCACAGAGTTGCTCATTGGCGTTCAACATTATTCCAGATGGGCTAAAACTAAGTAAAAGTTACGACTCAAAAACACAGACCATGTTTGACATTACACGGCCATGGACCGCCATTCATGCTTCAACAGACTTTCTTTACTCCCAAGAAATCAAGTTGCTCATCCTCCCTAGGTGATGAAATTAGTACTCTGAAGAGAGATTCCTGGAGGCTTTGAACAGGGGAACCTGGGAAACAAATTAAATCTTAATATAAAAGACAGGAAAAGGGCAGTGACTTTTGCAGATGCTCTGCCGTTGAAATACTAAGAACTCCATCCAATTTTAAGATCTTGCTTTAGTAGGAAGTTGTTTCTGTGCAGAGTTCTGTCCAGTTTCTAAACAGCTAACTGTGTTTGGAGACTGTTCTTACAGTCACTCTGTTGAGACTGAGCTGTTCCACTGTCCACCCAACAAGTCTTGTTCTTTGCTATCACGTTTATAAAGAAAACAGAAATGGTCCACGGAACATAGAATGCCTTCGCCACGCGGCTGAGTTTTCACCACACCCTGTCCCCACCCAACGTGTGTCTTGTCTTGGTTTTAAAATAATAACCTGGGCTATCTGTGCCAGTAACACTTCCTGGCTTTCATTTGTGGCTAAGAGCACAAGAAGGTGGAAGCAAAACCATACTCGTCCTTCTTTGTTCCTGTTAGAGTGAACCATTTTCGTCCTTGGGCTCTCCTGCCATCTGACTAAGGCTGTCTGCTTCTTACAGAAACTGTTTTGCTCTCAGCCTGACATTGGCTATATGGTTCCTAGGCAGTGACACACAGATTTGGGAAACACCTTTCTGTCCCCGGTTTGTGTGTTCTCTCCTCTCTCACCTGCTCTCTCTTCTTCGTGATTCCTTTCAACTAGAGCTTCCTTAAAACAAACAAACAAAAACATTATTGTTATTGCTGAGAGAGAGTCTTGCTTTGTAAGCAGTCTGGCCTAGACAGACTCACTAATCAGGCCAGAGTGGTCTTGAACTCGGAGCATTTCTTCTGCTTCTGCTCACCAAATCTGTAGTCTACATACAGGAACTACCATCCCTGACCCAATTGCTTTATAAATATACTTACTTTTAAGAAATAGGGCATATAACCCTTTGAACCAGTGGGTCTCAATTTTCTGAATGCTGTGACCCTTTAATACAGTTCCTCCTATTGTGGTGACCACCAACCATAAAATTATTTTCATTGTTGCTTCATATCTGTAATTTGGCTACTGTTTTGAATCATAATGTAAGTAGTTTTGGAGATGGAGGTTTGTTAAAGGAATAGAGACCCACGGGTTGAAAACCACTTCTTTGAATTCTGAGGTATAATCTTTGAAATAATAAATGTTCTGAAAAAATTAGCAATATGAATAAAAGTTTTAAATTAGAGACAAAACTGGGATGTTGGCCAGATTGCTTTTCCCCAGCTTGTATGTTATTATAGCCTATGGTACTAGCAGTTTTGAATTTTATTTAAACTGTTTATTCTAAGATGCCAAATAGCTTAGTAATTGCAATGACAAAGATGAACTCAAGTGCAGATCGTATAGCCCTGGAGTTGTCAAAACTGGGTTTGGCTTACTGATGCTCACATCCTTAGGATGGACTGTCTTTGTACTAAGGGATCCTCTAAAGACCTGGGGCTGAAACTTTCAGTCGACCCAGGGTCATCCTTGGGATGGACTGCAGGTGGTTGAACATGATGTGCCTGTTCTAACGTGAATTGTAGGAACTGGGTCATCTTTGCAAGGGCCGTGGAAGCTTGATAGCTGTGCTTCTCATGTCTTCTCTGACAAAAGTTCCTGTGAGTCTCAGGTGCAGAGCATTGATAGGATTAGTAAAAGAAGCAAATGCGCCTACGAACACTTGCCAGGAGTAGGGGCCATAATGAAATGGCTAGGCCCCCCAAGGCTAAACTCATTTAAAAAAAAAAGTATCAGTTTTACCTGTTTTAGATTGGCCGATGTTTTTTGCAATGGTTGAGTCTCATATTAGCAAAGAAATTAGAAACCATATTAGATGTGATTATATTAAGAATAATTTAACCTCTACTCATATGCACAGGGCATAACTGTTGTTTATCATGATTGAGGGAAATTTTTATCCTAAGTAAAATGGATGCAAAGGTTTTATAATGTTATTTGGATACATTTTATAGACTGTTTTAACTATTTTACTGTTCAGATCAAACTCTTGAAATTGTTCACTTTGTTACAAAAATGTGTTTACAGTGTCTCCAACATGAGCTTCACTTTGTGTCCCTCTATAAAGGTGTCTGCAGAGGAGCTAGGAATTGTTACCCCAAATGGTGCTGAGTGGTAGCCCACTTAAGGGTCTGTATCCTCATCTTATGGTGTCCAAGAAAACTTATGGGAAAAAAAACTTTGCATTGTTAGTTTTGAACATAAGATTTATAGAGTTCTGCGTCTGACCAAAACCTGTTTAAGAAGTCTTCAGCGTCAGTATTCCTTTTGAATTGATTTGCACTTGGAAAACATCCGTGACAAACCGTAAGTTCATGTTTTGTGTGCTAGGAGATAAAGCGTGGACCACACGCCCAAGAACTTGAGAAAGTGACTGAATACGATTAGCAATGTCGGTGCTTATATGTATGGGTATGGAGATTTAGTGTTGTAAATAAGAAAGTGGTGCGTAGGAGGCTTAATCACCTCCTATCTACCCACAGACTTCCTTAGGCAGCAAATACCAAGGAAGGGAAAGTATTAAAGCATCCTCCGCTCAAGATCTAGGACTGTGTGGGTGCTGGAAGGATCCTCTAGCCACCGCTTTTCTGCGGCTTTAAGCTATCTTAGAAACACGAGGCTTTGAATAGTTTAATTCATTCCCTTTTGGCTTTGAATAGTTTAATTCATTCCCTTTTACAGTAGTTTTGGATTGCTTACGTTCTCACCGAGTTCCTAAAGAGAAAAGGTCCAAAATGAAACCCATATCTTTGTTGTTGTTGTTGGTGGTTGGTTGGTTTGGGTTGGGTTTTTGGTTTTGTCTTTTTGAGACAGCATTTCTCATGTTGCTCTGGTGGTCCTGGGACTCACTCTGTAGAACAGGCTGTCCTGGAACTCATAGAGATCACCCTCTACCTGCCTCTGTTTCCTGAGTGCTGGGATTGAAGGTGTGCGCCACCACTGCCGGGCTGAAACCTATATTTTAACGGCTAAAATATTTGCAGATGCACTGTCCTGATGTACTTGAGGCAGTATCCATAATCAACTTTTTATGACATCTTCTCAGAGGTCTGAAGTATTTGTGGAATTAAATGTGCATGCTATAGATTCAACAGTATATTGCTATTTTGTAAGAACATAGCCAACATAAGCACTTTAGAGTTCTACATTTCTAGGAAATTCTCACTGTTCTGTTTCTTGAGAGGAAGTTTTCTTTATAGTCAAGCTGGCCCCAAACTTGTGATCCTCCCACCTCAGCCTCATTTTCTGATTTTACAGACACACATTACAACAGCCTCTAAGAGAACTTTTAAATGGATAAATGTTAGAGACGCGAGACGCACAGTAGCAAGTAGAATTCGTATCTGGTAATTGTAAACTTCACATGAATTTCAAAGTAATTAATATTATGATAACTTTAAAGCAGAAAGCCAATTTAGATTTTTGTTGTTACTCAGTGCAAAGTTCCCCTTTCCAGTTGCCTTCATATAATATTACTCAGGATTTCAGTAATTAAAATATTTACTTCGTACACAATTTGGCACAAGCAAGGAAGGATGATGACGCATCAATGAAACATAAATCTCAGTCATTACGGCTTAGGGGGCTGATACAAGCTGGTGCACCACCCTAAGAAGTTGAAAGCTCAAAAGTTGT